ATAATCCTTTCGTCAATATGATCCGATCAATTATGAGATATGGATATGTGTCAATCTCAATTATTGATCATATCTTTTATCCCGCTGTTAAGTCAATGTAAGTCGAAAAATCTTTTTCGACTTATGAGTTCACCTTGACCAAGAATTTCATTATTAACTTAACTGGATAAAATGTAGATCATAATCTCTTACTATCTAAGAGTGACGAATCCTCTATTGATCATTCACAACCTTCATATGATTCTTGACATACCCGAACGATGCTGTATTAGCGACCCTTGACAGAGCAACATCCAACATCACCAAAGTATGACTGCCCTCATATAAGGTACTATGATGACCTCAAGTCAAAGGACCAATTCCACTACCGAACGTTAGAGATTAACCACTAACACTTAGATAGTTATCCATGTGGAATCTCTCAGCGGGTCTCCAATGTTTTGTTCTATAACAAAACATCCACGTGTTCATTCAAGTGTCACCACACTTTAGCTTGTGAGATCAGCTACTTACTTCACAAGTAAGAATGCCACACGCGATAGTCTATCCGTAATAACGATATCCGTATCTCGTTATTACTTCGACCACGGACGATTTAAGATTAAGTCATATGTAATTTGTATCTCACAATCACAACTCCTTGTGATTAACAAATCACCAAAACTTGAATCTACGGATTCTGTTATTTAATTTATTAGAATATTAATTCAATTAAATAATAGATATTGCCATAGATATGTATCGAATATATATTTAAAGTATTTATGTTCAAAATTGATTGGACACAGCAAGAGCCATGTACAAAATTGGACTATTCTACTACTTTGGTACGAGGGGAGTTAGACGCAATCATGCCAAAGCACTATGGTGGTTTGCAAAGGCCGAGGAGAAAGGTGAACTTAGGTCTATGGAACTTCTTGGAGAGATATACGCCAGTGGGGTAGGGGTTGAAAGGAACTACACGAAGGCACTAGAATGGCTTACACTTGCGTCAAGCCAACAGCTTATTTCTGCTTGTAATGGAATGGGGTATTTATATGTAAAGGGCTACGGAGTTGAAAAGAACTATACCAAGGTAAAAGTTTCAATTTTTCGCTTCTTGTGCACGTATTTCACTATATATTTGTTTTTGCTTTTCTATTCATTCCCTTCTTCTGTTGTTGCGCTGATTAGGATTGGGGGAGGGGAATGAAGGGGCTCTTATTATTTAGTGATAACGTGCTGCCTATTTTATAGGCACGTTTGCTTTCTTTAGCATTTTGTATCATGCAAATTCTTTTTGTGTAGTCTGGACAAGCACTATTTAGTGTTTATTCTCTTAACTTCTTTATTCTTATGGCTTAAGAATTTTGATTCTTCTTTGGAATTTGAGAAATGGTGGATCCAGGATATTTATTTCTTCCCCTTTTCTTGTTAGGGTGGGGTGGGTGGAGCCTATCTTAGACAATAATACTACGTAAAAAAAGAAACTAAATCATAGTGTGAGTCCAAATTTATCAATGATCCTTGCAATTATTTTGATATACGAATTCCATATACAATCCCAACCGCTATCAAGATTTCAAGAATCAGTTGAAGGAGAGAGGTGGAAGAAAGAATTGTGCATGGGGAGAAAATGTATTCATGTGTGTAATTTTGATATGTAAATTCAAAATCGCCCCTATTGGTGGGAACCAGGAATGAGATCAATTTTTCGAAAGCACTAGAAAGTGTTTGGATACTCCATAGCGAGACAGATAAATATGCTCTGGGGCATATAGGAGGATTTGACTAGCATTTTAGGAGGGAGCAAGAAAGAAATTTCCTTGCATCCAAGGGGATTCATGACGTTCATTCACACAATATACAACTTTTCTCTAAATCGGGTATCTCCCTCTGCCTCCACCTTGAAGTGTTATCTTGGTCTCCAGTTTTCCCGTTTCTTCACTTTTCAGGACTTCAATTGTCCGACCCCCATAACTGTTTTTTGGACTATTTTAATCTGAAAGATTATGCTTACTGAGTAGTAACTTCTTACTTTTCTGTTATAGGCAAAAGAATACTTTGAGAAGGCTGCCGAAAATGAAGATTCTGGTGGGTTTTACAACCTTGGGGTATTGTATCTCAAGGGACTTGGGGTGAAGCGTGATTTGAAGGTAGCATGCAATTATTTTGCGCTCGCTACCAATGCAGGTCAACCGAAAGCATTCTACCAATTGGCAAAGATGTTCCACACAGGTGTGGGGCTCAAGAAGAATATTCCCATGGTAAGCCATCTTAGACCACGTGTTTCTTTATTAAGAGCTTGTTTGGGAGAGATTTTAATCCTATTGAAATTGAAAATATAGTCGTTATTGGGTCTCACCCGTCTAATAAAAGTCAACAATAATGGCTAGTTTTTCAATTTTAATCCCTCCCAAACAAGCTCTTATTTATACAATCTGCATGTTAACTTGAATAATGTCTTTTTCCTGAAACCTTAAATTTTTGGATTTTTGAGTATGTTCTCTATGAATGCACAACTTCGAAAAAGAAAACTATAGTGCTCTTGCTCATACAATTTTATTTTGTTGAATTTCCTCATTGGTTGTTCTTCGTTCTCATTTTAACTCTCTCTTTTCTGTATACGGGGGTATTTGTTCCCTACCGGCATCATTTTATTTTTCTGTTTTCAACAAATTGAAGTGTTCTAAATTAATTGCTTTGTGCATTGTACATGCCTACTTAATTGTAGGAAACCACATTTTATGAACTAGTTACAGAACGTAGACATGAATATCCTTGTCTTCTTCTCCTTGACTGCCCCTCTTATTTCTTGGGGTGTTCTTTCTTTCTTTCTCACTCTTCAGCTTTAAACAAATAAGGGCTTTAAAGCCAATTTGTTCATTCAGTTATTACCATGTCTGCTTCGATTTAGGCAACTGCATTATATAAGCTAGTTGCAGAGCGTGGACCATGGAGTTCCTTGTCTAGATGGGCACTAGAATCATATCTGAAAGGTGATATCAGCAGGTCATTCCTTTCGTATTCAAAGCTGGCAGAGATGGGGTATGAGATTGCACAAAGTAATGCTGCTTGGATCCTTGATAAATATGGGGAACAGAGTGTGTGCATGGGAGAATCTGGAATCTGCACTGATGAAGAAAGGCACAAACATGCTCATGACTTGTGGTGGCAAGCTTCTGAGCAGGGCAATGAACATGCTGCTTTGCTGGTAGGGGATGCATATTTCTATGGTCGGGTATGTTCATTTATCATTATATTCAACAAGTTAGAAATATCTTAGATATTAGTTTTGTAAGTCACCGTATGTTCATTTATCATTATATTCAACAAGTTAGAAATATCTTAGATATTAGTTTTGTAAGTCACCTACTGTGCCATGTTCTCGACTGTGATGCTAATTATCTGTTCTAGACTGTTGCTTTCAAGCATTTTTCTTTTCTACTGATTTGTTTACCCTTGTCTTTGTTGTGCAGGGTACAGAACGAGATTATGATCGTGCAGCAGAGGCTTATATGCATGCCAAATCTCAGGCAAATGCTCAAGCCATATTCAACCTGGGGTACATGCATGAGCATGGACAAGGGCTACCATTTGATCTTCACCTTGCCAAGCGTTACTATGATCAAGCCTTAGAAGTTGATCCTGCAGCGAAGTTGCCTGTAACGCTTGCCCTTGCAAGCTTGTGGGTACGGAAGAACTATGCCGATAGTCTCCTGGTGGGCGTTCTTTATTGTCCTCCTGTTTGCTCCTTTCCTTTTGATCTTCTAACTGGAACTTCATCATCCAGTTTAAATGGTGGCGTATTTGATTTCAGTCATTTTTACTTGAATAATGTTACTCGTCTAGAGTGATGTTGGCAACAGCCCCACTGCCCCAGATTGCGGATCAATCGTCACTCTAAATGAATTATTACTCTTTTTACTTGCCTGATTGATATGTGAACTGAACTGGGTAACTTATTGTTTTTAAGGTTCATGTAATCGATTCACTTCCCAACGGTTACCCAAAAGTAGAGGCATGGGTGGAAAACGTTATTATGGATGAAGGAAATGCAACGATTCTCACACTCTTCGTCTGCCTACTAACTGTCCTTTACCTCCGTGAGCGGCAACGGAGACATGGTGCTGCCGCAGCCATGGCCCCACCACACCAACCTGTTGAGCAAGGTGCACCCGTCATTATCTGAACGTGTGACTTGTCATGAAACATAGTGCTGTCATTGTCATGTCCATGTCTGAGAAGATGAGATTCTTTTCCTTAAGAATGTACAGGTGTTTGTTTTGTTAGGACGGCATTTTCTATAGGCCTGTTTGTAGAAGTTATGGGGTAACACGGGGGCGTATTACAATATTGGATTTTCCATATTTCAGTTCTGGATGGAAATCAATTCTGGCTGGTAAAAGATTTTTTGTTTTTATTTTTATGTACTATATAGACAAAAAGGGCAAAGAAGTGAAAGGAATAATCTCATTCTCATAATTTTTTCTGTAGTGCTGATTGTGGGTTAAGGCTGGTTGTTCTACCTTTTCTATTATTCTTTGGTCCGTAAATTCTGCAGTGCATATATTTGGATAATTACTTCATAAATTTTCTCTACATGCCAGGGCCAAGTTTGGTTACGAGGTAAAATAGGAAAGATTTTAAAGCAAAACATAATGCTACGTGCAAGTTTGGAAAGCTTATAAACAGGTTAAACTTTATTTTTATCCATACATTTCGTAGGATCTACAAATTTTACCTGACTTTTACTCGCTTATTATTTGCAGATTGGTTGGAAAAACAATATTGTTTAAAGAAGTCAGATTTCCTCAGAAAACAAAATTTGTGGTTCAATCGAAGACTGGAGTAAATAAGAATCGTTCCTCAACATAACACTGACATGACGCCTCAACAGTTACAGAGCAAAATGAAGCATTCCATAAACAAGACTCGCAGCGATATTCACATTGCAAATGATTCTGCACGGCGTGCGTCTAAGAAATAAGTTACTAGCATGAAGATATTTGTAGAGATGCTCAGCCAACGAATGTAGTGGCAAAGATCCGATAATTCCTACTTCCCCAGATATCAGTTTTGTCGATATAATAAGATTTCAAGCAACACTGAACCCATGGTGGATTCCTAGAAGTGGCCTTCCGGCAACCATCACCTTCAGTAATGCCAAGTAATGCATTCATCTTCTTCATCAGTTCATCAACTGTGTTATGACTTCCAAAAAACTGCACCTATATATCAACATAACGGGAATGTAAATAATTCTACTTCAATTCATTACTACCGAAGACCTCCTCATTATTGAACCTGCACTTTTTGAGCATGATTGATACAACTGCCCATTACAAATAGACAAGATTTTAGCTCATTTTTCTTCTTTATCCTATCCGAGGCAGTCCAATCCAAAACGTTAAATATGCATTAGTGTTTATCTATAAGAGTAGTTGACTGGAGACCAAATACATTATTAGCTACAAGAATCTATGGTAGTAGTCATGAATTACCAACAATATTGATTATTAATGTACAATTGGATAGTAATGAACCTTAAACCCTATACTAATATCCCACAAAAGTTTCATAAAATGCAATCAGAATTTTGTTTGATCTTAACTGGCAAAGTATAAAGCAGAATATATAGATTCTAGATGACTGGAAAGTCGAGAAACATCCTACTTGAATTTCATAATATCCTAAAAGGAATATAAGTAAGTCGATATGTTGTACTAAACTATTGTTAATGCAACTGTTGAATTTTGAAATAGAAAATCGAATCCTTACCCCATCCTCAGCGTACAGAAAAGCATAGATTCTGGCAGTGGGATCCTCTAGAGTCAACCTGACCCTATAAATCCCCTGGGGGTTGCAGAAGTCTTCAACCCGCCATGGAAATGATGCAACAACCCGGACTACGCAATTAAATTTGAATGTCACCTGCAATTTGTAAACTCGTGAATCCATTAGTAACGTCTAGTTTAATGCAACTCCACAAAAGACAGGTAATAACACAAAAGCCTCGCACCCAGAACGCGTGCACAGAGAGAGAGAGAGAGAGACCTCTGGATGGGTGAGAACATTCATCAGAGTCACAAAAGGCACGTCAATATAATCAGTATCTGATAATTTAGCACATAAAAAGGCAGTTGTTAAACAATCATCGTTAAGAATCCTAGATTAAAGGATACCTAAATCTATAACATAACGAAACCTGTTATAGGAGAAGGCCCGGGAAAGCATGACAATGGCATCCGTTTGAATTTTGATGTCACGCGCTCATTATAAGATCTGAGCTACAAAAGAGTATTGGTAAAAATAATTAAACAGAAAAGGAGCAGTACACAATAAGACACAATGACCAACTTTGAGCAACAATTACCTTTCACGCTGTAATATGAGGTCGTTATTTGGCAAATAGTAAACCATAGATGAGGGCATTAGCACAGCACGCCATAATCCAGCATGAACGTCACATTTTACTTGGACAACTTTCACCCATTTATTTGGTTTCAGGAAGTTAATGCCAAACTTCTTGTTGCCTCGATCAGTGACCATTCTCAAGACAGTTCCAACAGGAGGGAAGGTACATAACGTATCTCTTGATAAAGGAGAGGCTTCCAACTGTAAAGGAAGTGGATCTTCCATTTCATTTTCTAGTCTGCAGATTGTAGATCACAATGATACAGGATTTCAGACCATATAAAAATTTTTCCCGACTTATGTGAAAAGCCGATTATTGGGTAGCCTGATTACAGTAGAATAATGTTACTTGTACATAATGAAGTTATATAATGATTTACATAGAAATGGGGTGTCAAAAAGAGAGTAGGTAAGTTTTTTTTTTTTTTTATTTGGTTGAAGAAATTCTGACTCATTCATATCTCATCACATTATGTATATGTAAAACATTATGCACATGTAGCACAATCGTAAAAATAACAGTTTCAAGGTTAAGTAAAATATTTTCTTTGAAAACATGAACTAAATTCAATTCAATGTCGACGCCCACTAGAAACGGAACAGAAGCATACTTCTCTATTAGAAATTCCAATAACCTAACAAATATATTTGTACCGAATAAGAACCCTAATCTAACGTCTTGGAATCTAACAGCTTTTCCACCCAACGTATGCCATTACTAGAAAAACTATAGCAGAATATGGAAGCATAGGCAGTTAATTCATGAACAGAACAAGGAAAATTAGTTTGATTAATATGTATATATATATTTTTCAGATTACAATTATTAATAGAAAACAGATCGACTGGTTGGACCTTCAGTTATAATAAACTTAGGCCTGCTCAAGTAAAGGCAAATACCATATAGAGAACAAACAAACGTTGTTATTATTATTTTATAATAGTAATAATAATTAAAAAAAAAAAGGTTTAGAACATACTCTTCGTGAGAATAAGAGGGTTCTATATACCTCACACTAAATCTCTAAGGACTTCACTGGGAATAAGACTTAGTAGTTACTTTTTGCAGGTTGCATCAAGGTTGTATCAGGCTACTCCTAAAGCTAGAATGGTTAATCAGAATCTACTAAATAAAACAATATTCAGAGGAATTTTTGATGTTCAAGAATATTTTTGTTCTATGTAAAATTAGTGAGTATAAATACGATATGCAGAGATATTGTGTAAATATTACCTAAAGAACAGAAACAGGAAAAAATATATACACAAATACTAACTTAGCTTCAATAGATGCAGGTGGTGTGTCTGTTCCATCCCAAACAAAGAGCATCCAGTCATCCTTTGTAACTTCACAAACATGCAAAACCTTGCAGTGGAAAAGTACAACAAAAAAGGACATGATATCTAACTCCCTCTTCTTGTACAGTAAAGATAACCTAATGAATTTACTATTTAGGTTAATTATACAGAAAAAGAAACAAAATAACCTTAAAATGTCACTAACAGACTATGTTGAGAATTCAAATGCAACAAGAGACAACGGTATTGATTTAGAAATACCTTGCAAAGCAAATTGATGTGCTCACCCTCCTTCATCTCTTTCAGTGGCGACAAATCGTTCAAGTCTATCAAGCAAACGGATACCCATGAGAAACATGGAAATCTACTTGCAAAAAACTCAGTTCCATATGTCAAATGATTTTACCCCCAAAAAGTGGCTGAAAGAAAACATGGCAGAAAAACCAAAACTGTAGGAATCAATAAGCAAATTTGAATTGGTGGCTGGACATGCATGGTTCAGAAATAAACTAGTAAAAACAGAACAGCGAAAGTAAAAGTTGATTACAGAAAGTTGGAAACCTTGAATTTAGTGGGGATATTCGTACGACACATGTTTCAGTTACTACTAATGAAATGAAGAGGGTAATACCTGCTTCAATTTTTTGAGATTCTCTTAACTTGGCGACGAATGGTTTATCTTGCTCCCTACCTCGAAAATTTGGCGAAGCTTGGTAAGGCACAATATTACGACTATTGTGTTTCCCTTCAAACAAAGCAAATGAAGAATATTTCTTCAGGTACGTAGCATAGACGTCGGAAGAATGTGCTTTCATCTACAGAAAAAAAAAATATATATATTTATATATCTCCTTAGCCCAAAAATTAAAAAAACTAGCTACAAGTACATAATCATTACCGTGACACGAGTCAGTATAATTATGTCTCCAATGGACTCAATATGAGGAAGCTTCTCCATAGTTTCAGCAAAAAATGTTACCGCAATCCCAGGACTCGTTCGCGATTCATCAATCAATTTTATGGAACAAAAATAATCTGGAAAATACAAAAGAAAAACAAAAATGCCTTCAGTCTAAGAGGCGCAATTTCTTATACGAAGCTGAGTAAAATTGCACGTCTTTTAAATATGAAAACAATAACTACCATACAAGAGTTATTTAAGATCGAATCGAATAAACCATGTGGTAGCAGATTCCAAAAAAGCTCAAACAGACAAACTAGCATTTCAATTACAAGATTGGTGTTTTTAAAGGACCCACCATCTTGCTGAATATATTAAGAGTAAAGTCCGTTAAATATGCAAGATATGACAACTAAAATCCTAGTAGTCGAACGCGAGGTTGACAGTTAAAGATGAAATTACAACACAACATAGATGCGTTCCTATTTTCAGAAAAGAAGAAATTTACCGGTGCCGTTGGAATGTTTTGGAAGGCTAGCCTCTGTGACAATACCAATGAGATTGACCCGTTGATTTATGGAAGCCATAGCATCCACGATTTTCATATAGTTGTAATCATCGTCTCTGGTACTGTTGGCCATCTTGACAAAAATCGAACCCTAACTACAGTAAAATTGCACAGAATCACTACCACTGTTTTTTCTCTTTTGACGAAATTATTTTACAATTTTATGGCGGGAAGGGAATGGAGAATTGCAGGGGAAGATGACGACCGAGAAATGTGGAACCATAGAGAATTTCCTAGAGAACCATTTAGGACTTTAAGAAAATGGTATGTTTGGTTAAACTTATAACTTTTCTTAAATAAGTATGTTTTGTAATAAGCTTATTAACACAAAACGTCAATGCCTTTCATCTACAATGAGCAAAACGTTCATAATTTTTACATTTTCACCTTTACTTCCATGTGAAAACATCATTTTTATCAATTTTTATTCAATTTCTCAATTAAAAATTGTAAATTGGCAAATATATCCTTATATTTAAATAAAACAAAAAGAAATGAAAAATAAAGAATAAATTGAAATCATACTCTCAATTTTTTTTTTAAAAAAAAAGTACAAATAAATTCCTAATAAGTTAAATTTAAAAAAGAAAAGAAAAATCATCTTCTCTTCCTCTCCCTAGTGGTGGCTAGG